GTCGGACGCTTAACTGACTGCGCCACCCAGGCGCCCCTGCCCCTAAGTTTTTTATACTTACTATACATATACTAAGATTAATAGTGTTAGATTTGTATGGTTTTATCCATAGAATTATCCTTATATATTTTTTAAGTTTATTTATTTAGAGAGAGAAAGAGTGAGAGAGGGAGGGAGGGAGGGGCAGAGAAAGAGGGAGAATCTCAGGCAGGCTCTGTGCTGTCAGCACGGAGCCCATCCAGGGCTCAAACTCAAAAAACCATGAGGTCATGACCTGAGCTGAAATCAAGAGTTGGACACTTAACCAACTGAGCCACCCAGGCGCCCTGAATTATCCTTATTAAATCCATTTTCTGCCAACTTGGAAAACCTAAAAATTATTATAGAAAAGACAAATAATTTTAATTCCTTACAAATAAATTTCTTCAAAATTGGCAGCCCCAATTATTTGTGTGAAAGCAGATGGAGTCTTAAAAAGTTACACATAATGTTACCATGTGACCCAGAATTCTACATTTAAGTATGTACCCAAAAAGGTTGAAAGCACATGTCCATACAAAAATGTGTACACGAGGATTCATGGCAGCTTTTTCCATAATAGCCAAAAAGTTGAAACAATACCGTTATCCACCAGCTGATGAATGGATAAATAAAATGTGAATCTGTACAGGGGAATATTATTCAGTTCTAAAAAGGAATGAAGTACTGATAACATCCTACATGGGTGAATGTTGAAAATGTGCTAAATGAAAGGAACCGGACACAAAAGTCCATATAATAGGTTTCCATTTTATATGAAATGTTCAAAATTGGCAAGTCTGTGGAGACAGAAAGTGGAATAGTGGTTGCCAGGGTCTTAGAGTGGGAGCGAGAGGGAATGACTGTTAATGGATATGGGGCTGCTTTTTGGGGTGATGAAAATGTTCTGGAATTAAGCAGTGGTGATGGTTGCACAACTTTGTGAATGCACTCAGTTGTACACTTTTAAAAGGGTGAATTTTGGGGTGCCTGACTGGCTCAGTCGGTAGAGCATGTGACTCTTGATCTCATTGTTGTGAGTTTGAGCCTCATGTTGAGTGGAGAGATTGGTTTAAAAAATAAAGGGGTGGTTTTTATGGTATGTGCATTTTATCTCAAAAAAACCAAAAAATAAGAAAACCCAGATGGAGTATGGGTTTTTAAATCTTGATTAAAAATTGCAGGTTATATTATGGCTACTTCTAATCCTATTTAATAATCATGTTTAGTCATCTCTTAAAATTCTTACTGGCCTTGGGCTGTGAATGAGAGGTTTTGGTATTGTGGATAGGAGGGGTTCCATTTTGAAGTCATTTTTTCTTTAAAAAAATTTTTTTTTAATGTTTGTTTATTTCTGAGAGACAGAGACAGACCGTGAGCAAGGGAGGGACAGAGAGAGAGGGAATCACAGATTCTGAAGCAGGCTCCAGGCTCTGAGCTGTCCGCACAGAGCCTGACGGGGGGCTTGAATTCACAGACTGTGAGATCATGACCTGAGCTGAACTTGGACGCTCAACCGACTGAGCCACCCAGGTGCCCCAAAGTCATTTCTTTCTTCATAGCAGTCTATATACCACATAACAGAGTCATTTTAATATATATTTCTAGGGGCTCCTGGGTGGCTCAGTTGGTTAAGCATAGGACTCTTGATTTCAGCTCAGGTCATGATCTCATGGTTCATGAGTTGAAGCCCCACATCGGGCTCTGTGCTGACAGTGCAGAGACTGCTTGGGATTCTCTCTCTCCCCCTCTCACTGCTCCTCCCGTGAGCACATATACATGCTCGCTTGCTTGCTCGCTCTCTCTCTCAAATAAAATGAACTTAAAACACACACACACACACACACACACACACACACACACACATATATATTTCTAAATGAAATATCCTACATATAAGAGAAAACATTTTTAAAAATAAGAATGGTTTTTTAAAAAATAAAACATTACAGGGGAGCCTGGGTGGGTCAGTCGGTTAAGCATCCGGCTTCGGCTCAGGTCATGATCTCATGGTTCATGGGTTCGAGCCCCGTGTTGGGCTCTGTGCTGACAGCTCAGAGCCTGGACCCTGCTTTGGATTTTGTGTCTCCCTCTCTCTCTGCTCCTCTCCCACTCATGCTCTGTCTCTCTCTCTCTCAAAAATAAATAAACATTAAAAAAAAAGATTTTAAAAATAAAACATTACCACTTATTTTGAAAGACCATTTGTCCTCTATCTCAGCCACCTGCTTCTCCCTGCCAAAAAGTTTTAAAATTACTGTTTTTAGTGCCTCTCATGGGGAAAAGAAGTTATGATGACATTCTTTTATATACACTAAACTTGGTTAACACATGGAATGTGCTTTTACTAAATCATCAGAAGTTATTTTAATTGCTCATGGAAAAGATATATGTCACAAGTGATTATGTGCATCTGAGATAGAAAGTACCAACTGAAATTTCTTTTGAACTTGCTTCTATATTTGTACTTGGTGAGGAAGCTTTTAAAAATATTCTGCCCTTTGTAACTTGCCCTTTGTCTTAACTTGGACACCAATGGTTAAGCAAGGGAATTTTTAAGCCTTCAGCAAGAGTTCTTACAAATAGCTAGCGGTATTAATGAAGAAATTTGGGGGAGGTGGGGGTTGCGTGCTAATCCAGAACTTAAAAATAACTTTCTTAATTTAGCTGGTAAATCTTACTTCTAGTTGTAGGCACAAATTATTTCACTATGGCTATCAGAACATAGGAAGTGTTCCATAGAATTTACAGGTTAAGTTTGATCTCACTCTTCTGGGACTTATTTCTTATCTTGTTAATCATCAGGAAAAGAAGTTTTATTATTGATGCAAGCCCTAAACACCCTTTCAACTCCAGAAGAGAAACTGGCAGCTCTCTGTAAGAAATATGCTGATCTTGTGAGTATTAAATAAAGGTAGTAAGGTTCATATGAAATACAGCAAAATATGTACGTACTTGATGTAGCTTTAGATGTAACACATTGTATTCCAAAATTGAAGAGGAGACTGTCGTTCTTGGGGCTTTTTGTTGCTTGTATGACTTCATTTTATAAGGTGATACATATAGAACATTGTAATGCTAAGATACAGCATAGATTTTTTTTTTTTAATTTTTTTTTTTTTTCAATGTTTGTTTATTTTTGGGACAGAGAGAGACAGAGCATGAACGGGGGAGGGGCAGAGAGAGAGGGAGACACAGAATCGGAAACAGGCTCCAGGCTCTGAGCCATCAGCCCAGAGCCTGACGCGGGGCTCGAACTCACGGACTGCGAGATCATGACCTGGCTGAAGTCGGACGCTTAACCGACTGCGCCACCCAGGCGCCCCAGCATAGATTTTTTAAAACTCAGTTTTAGGAATGAAAAGGCTGACTTAGAAGCACTGTGTTGTGATGCTTTAGATGCTAGTTGGGGTGTAGTGGTTCCTGTACTTAACTTTGTTCCCAAGGGAATTCTAGAGATAAAGGCTCTACCCATTGTAAATGAAATTGTGAATTAGCTGAAATAGTCTACTAAAACAATACTGTCTCAGGAAATCTTTATTTCACATCTGTGTGCCAGAGATTTCTTTTTCCATCTTCGAAAGACACTGACCTCATTTGTTCTGTGCCTATGTTATTTCAAGTAGCATTAGTTCTCTTTTTAAATTTTTGAAAGAAGTCTCAACATGAAAACTCTGCCATTCTGTTTAAGTTGAAGAATAGGGAAGTCAGAACCCTTTGAAGTAAGGGTTGTGGGAAACTTTTAGAGTGAGTAGTTGTAATATAAATGCTAAAAGTAATGCCTTTTGTAAAACTAGTGTGAACTATTGACAGTTTTTATGCATTTTCATTTGTTGTTAAAGCAGTTGTTACATGTCATAAATAGTACTTTTTGTCATTGACCAGCTCTAAAAACGAATTGTTTTATTACTCAAAGAATTCTAGTTACTCTCCCTTGATTTATAAAGGGGTGTGTGTATTCCCCCACGTAGCTGGCATTCAGCAGCCTAGCACCTTCTAGTCAGAGCAACAGGAAACCTTGTGTGACAGTATAAATGGCCCAGAACAGTCACAGATGCAAAGATGGCAGAAAACACAGTGTGTTCAGATTGCTGGCTTCAGGAAAGGAATGCTTCCGTCTGCAGAAGACAGTCGCTGTTGGTTGCATCCGCATGAGAATCCTGCGAGGAGTGATGGGAAAAGAAGACAAGGTCAAAAAAGGGAAAAGAGAAAAAGCAGTGTAGAGGGTTAGCTACTTGCCCCAGTATTGTGACGATGGCAGACTGCCGTGAATAAGTTAGAAGAAGAAAGGACAAATAGTTGCCTACGGCAGTCCTTCTCAGATTCACGCATGTCATTGGAACTTCTGTTAAAAGGCACATTCTGATTCACTGGGTCCAGATTTGGGCCTGAGAGTCTGTATTTTAACAAACTCCCAGCTGGTGATGATGTTAATGCCGTTAACCCTGAGATCACACTTCAAGTAGCAGGGGTCTATGGTGTTTTTATTTGTGGCTTTTGTGTGTGTGGAGGTGGGTATGGTTATTTTTTTAAGTACCAGTAATGATAGCTGCATTCAATTCAGGATGCGTAACACATTGGAGATTGACCTAGTGAGTAACCTGACTTATATTTGTGCTGAATTTATGAAGGATGAGATGTGTACTGTTTACAGAAAATGTACTGAAGTTTTATTTGTTGAAACAACACTCATTTCTTTTAAAAGGTATATAGGCTATATAGCAGTGAGACCATGAATGGAGTAGCCTTTTCCTAAGGATTATTTAGAGACCTTCCCTTTTGCCATCACTGTCCTCTGCCCTTTAGGGGGCGGCATTATCTGCCATCACTGATGCCTGTGGCATGGATGAATAGAAAAGGCAGAGCAGCGTGTTGCACTGCAATCGGTATTGTCCATTGGGGAGACCTTGTGGCCTCCACATTTACCAGATAGCATAGGTTCACGAAATCCTCACATTTCACTTGCTAAGTGTGGATACCCTTAGGCTGGTAACACGATTCTTTTTTTGAGAGAGAGAGACAGACAGACAGAGAGGAAGACACAGGATCTGAAGCAGGCTCCAGGCTCTGAGCTGTCAGCATAGAGCCCGATGCGGAGCTGGAACTCACGAACTGTGAGATCATGACCCGAGCCGAAGTCAGACGCTTAACCGACTGAGCCACCCAGGCGCCCCTTACAACACGATTCTTAAGTACTTGTTATAGTGCTATTCTTTCCCATTCCTTAGTCAGTTTGTGTAGATTATTATAGTGGGATAATAAATCTTGATATCTGGTGGCATAGGTGTTGTATGTATCCTTCTTATTACTCTTTTTGCCAGAAGTATCTTGGCTACTCTTGGCTCTTTATATAAAATTCTAAGTTCAACTTATTGGGGAAAATTGGGGGAAGAAACACCAGTTGGGGATTTTGAAGATCATTTCATGGAATCTGTTGGTGCATTTGGGGGAGAATCGCCATCCTCCTGAAGTAGATGGAATTTAAAAAGTATATATCCTCGGTTGCCTGGCTGGTTCAGTCCATCGGGCATGTGACTCTTGATCTTGGGGCGGCGAGTTTGAGCCCCACATTGGGTATAGAGATTACTTCAAAAAAAAGTGTATATCCTTATGGGAAAGAAATTAGGTTCTTAGACACCATACACGATGATTAGTTCCAAATGGGTTAAGGATTTTAAATGCCAAAAATTAAGCTTGAATAATTTTAGATATTTAGATTTATTTAGATAATAAGTGAATATTTTTCTAAATTGGGGTTAACGGAAGGATTTCTTACAAAAAGCACTATCAGAGACAGGATTGCAAAAATTGGCTGTGTTAAAATTAACTTACTGTTCAGCAGAAGACATTAAAAAATTGGGAAGAATATATTTCCAACAAACAGAATATGTAGTTTCAAGGCTATCTAAGGAATACCTACAAATGAATACAAAAAGGACAAATAACCCGATGGAAAACTGGGCAAGAGACATTTAAGAGGCATTTTGTAGAAGTGGAAAAACATGAAGATTCAAAGATCTGCCTTAACATAAAGGTACATAAACATATAAAGAGATGTTCAACTTTATTAGTGATCAGGGAAATGCAAATCTGGACCACAGTGAGATGCGATTTTATGTCCATTGTAGTGGCATAAATTTAAGAATTCTGGTTGTACTTAGTTTTGGAGAGGATGTGCATCTATATCTACATGAACCTCTTATAAATCGCTGATGGGAGAATAAATTTGCCAGCCACTCTGGAAAACAGTTTGACATTGTCTTGGGAAATAGACCATTAATCACTGCCTAGCAGTCCCACTACTGGGTTTGCACCCAGAGAAATTCTTGCATGTGTCTACCAGGAAACACATAGGGCAGTGTTCATATCATTGTAAGTAATAAAGTCTGGAAACAACCCAAATGCCCATTGCCTTGAGAATGGATCAAATATGTTGTGTGTGGTATATTTTTAAGTGGAATGTGACCAGTGGGCCAAATCTGGCAAGGCCGGTTTTTGTACTGCCCACAGCTAAGAATGGTTTTACATTTTTAAAGTGTTTAAAAAAAGAAAATGACACAACAGACACAGTATGTGGCCCACAAAGCCTAAAATACTTACTTTTGGCCATTTACAGAAAAGGTTTGCTGCTCCCTGATCTGGCAGACAATTTGGATGAGTTCCAGCAATCTAATTTACAGCTGTGCTGTCCAAAATGGGGCAGCCATTAGCTACGTGTAGCTATTTAAGCTTAAATTAATTTAAATTCAAGAAAATGAAAAATTCACATCAGTTGTACTAGCCACAACAAAGTCAAAACGATTCTTTAAGGACCACACACAGATGAGATAAAGAGGGGAGAGCAAAGGGATTGTGAGCCCAGGATTCAGGATTGTGATTACCTTGAGTCCGGGAGGGCAGGGGGAGTTTCCAGCTCACGGTGGAGTTACAGATAGTGTGTGCAGACTGGAAGCTTCTTGGAACTGTCACAGCCCACAGTCCATCTACTTTGCGAAAGTATTTTACAAAAAGAAAATTATTTTTCCTGGAGGAATTTCTCTGAGGTTGTTTTTAATAGCTGTAAGCCTATGGCCTGTAAGGATGCTTGGAATGTTTTGACAGGCCACAAGGTGTCGCTCTTGCTCTTGAAATTGACTGCATCATTTCCTTCTGTGAAAGGTTCGTAAGGCTGCTGTCTTATCTGTTAGTGTTGATTGAACCTTGAAATAGACTCATTTGCTCCAAACCTAAAATTGCAGCAGTTCCCCTCTCACTCACAAAAAATCCTGAGTGCTGCTTGTTCTAATTTGGGTAACCATTTCAGTAGAGTAGCTCATGTGTATTTTTCAGAAAAGTAAAACTCGATGGTGTTGGTTTCTAAAGTTTTTCCAAAAACATTTAAAAATTTTTAATAAAATTAGATTAAGGGGTGCCTGGCTGGCCCAGTGGGTGGAGCCTAAGACTCTTGATCTCAGGGTTGTGACTTTGAGTCCCCATGTTGGGGGGAGAGTTTACTTTAAAAAAAAAAAAAAAAGATGTATTTTTTTCCCTACCCTAAATTATTTGCTTACTCTCCTATCACAACTGGAAGAGAGACAAGGTTGGCAGAGTAGCATGACACAAAAATAATTTAAAGAAAATCTTGTACTACAATATTTGGTGTTTGAAAATGTGTTCCATAGTTCTTACTGTATTTCCTCCAGCCATAAATCAAAGGTTTTCGTTGTACTTCCTAATTGTAAAGTGCTTATTAATTTTAGCTGGAGGAAAGCAGGAATGTTCAGAAGCAAATGAAGATTTTGCAGAAGAAACAAGCCCAGATCGTGAAAGAGAAAGTTCATTTGCAGAGTGAGCACAGCAAGGCTATCTTGGCAAGAAGCAAACTAGAGTCTCTTTGTCGGGAACTTCAGCGTCACAATAAGACATTAAAGGTTAGTTGGTTAAGTTTTCTGTTTTTCAAGGGGTACTGACTCTGACGTAGCTTGCTTTATAATTACTGTGTACATATTTAAAATAAATGCTGCTCTCTGCCTGGAGACAGATACCAGCCACATTCTACTGTTTTGCTTGGCCTGATACTTCTTAATGAACCTCATACCTGGTCATGGGGAATCTAATTGAGATTGATACTTAGACGACAGCTTTCCTGCCTGGAGTCCTGGCTTAGGAAGCTCAGAGCTGCAAGTTTTCTGCTGAGCACTGATGTAGTTAATTACCACGTATGAAAAGTTGAAGTGAAATGAGAAGCTGAGGAGAAACAGAGTTGAGGCAGAGACTGAGCCTGGGAAGGGAAAACACCTGCCGAGCTCCTTAAGGGCTATTAATCAGCTACATTGCCAAACCACCCTTGCCTCCCCCCACCCAGCTGCTAAGTACTTTTAGAATAGCGCTCAAATCTTGGCTGAATATAAAGGAAGACAGAGCAGGTACCCAAAGATGAATTGGTGCCAGTAGGGGAAGAAGGAAAAAGAGCCAGAGACATGGAGAGGCAGGCCTGCCCTCATGTACAGCTTTGGTACGATTTTGACTAAGCAGGATCTCTCCTCAAACTGCCCCAGCACAGCAAATGCCCAAGACCCTAGAATATAGTTGCACTCAGGAAATGGATCTTCACCTACTGTGGGAGCTGTTAGTTTTTTTGGCTTTTGAATCCTTGTATTTACATAATCATTAAAGTAGGTATGTTTTTCTTGTAGCAAATCAACATTTTGATTGGACTGATAGCTGTTTAGACATATAGAAGTCTTTTAACACTTGTATCTTAGCAAGTGTTGAAAGTAAGCTTTTTAAGATACAGGTTTCTTTTGTCCCTTGGCTTCTAGGGAGTAGTGTAACCAAGAAGGTAAGCTGCAAGGAGGAGTCTCTCGGCAGGCTGGTTTCAGATACTGCTGTGTAACTGGCCGGGAGGGTGGAGGGAGCTGGCTGTGTGGGGAAGCAGCTCCTTACTTAGCTTTCAGTACAGCGAATTATTCTATCTACTCAGGCAAAGCTGCTGGCTTATTACATGAGAAAATTCTGGTCACAAATACAGGGAAGGAATACTTCAGGGTAGCAATAAATGAACCCCCGTGGCAGCAGCTTCTTTTATGAGCATCTTCTCTATAGGTCTATACCATTAACAGAACTTATTTTGGATAATAAGGAAGAAAACATGCAGCAGGCACGAGAGGAGGAAGAAAGACGTAAGGAAGCCACCGCACACTTCCAAATTACTTTAAATGAAATCCAAGCACAGCTCGAACAACATGACATACACAACGCCAAGCTCCGCCAGGAAAACATCGAACTGGGAGAGAAGCTTAAGAAGCTCATTGAACAGTACGCACTGAGAGAGGAGGTAAAGCCATTTTCTGGGTGTAGACAGCTCATTATCAGCAAGGATTTTTCACCATTCACGACTGAAGGAAAACTGCCATCACAGGAGGTTTAGGGACTTCTGTATGCATAGGGGGAGCCGGACATTTCATGGGAGAAGCTCAACCACCATGGGAACAGGAGTCTTGGGGACCATCACTTAGATAGTGGAGAGTCCATGGATTTGGGGAGGTGAGGCAATTTCTTGGAGACGTGTTAAGTACTACTTGACTTCCATGTAATACTAGAAGATTATGTTTTTAGCATGCAGGTTTTTCCCCTTATCTAGACTAATAATAAATATTTGGCCTCCAAATATGCTGTAACTCAGATATATGTGACAATCTGGACAGTCTATATTACCACCGTATTACACCTGTGTTTCACATTTCTTTTTTTTTTAATTTTTTTTTAATGTTTTATTTATTTTTGAAGGAGAGAGAGAGAGAGAGAGCGTGAGCGGGGGACGCGCAGAGAGAGAGGGAGACAGAATCCAAAACAAGCTCCAGGCCCTGAGCTGTCAGCACAGAGCCCGACGTGGGGCTTGAATTCACAGACCACGAGATCATGACCTGAGCCAAAGTCGGACGCTCAACTGACTGAGCCACCCAGGCGCCCCTCACATTTCTTTTTATTTTATTTATTTTATTTTATTAAAAATTTTTTTAACATTCATTGTGGAGAGAGTGTGAGGGGGGAGGGGCAGAGAGAGAGACAGACAGAATCTGAAGCCGGCTCCAGGCTCTGAGCTGTCAGCACAGAGCCCGATGTAGGGCTCGAACCCATGAATTGTGAGACCATGACCTGAGCCAAAGTCGGACGCTTAACCCACTGAGCCACCCAGGCACCGCTCACATTTCTTTTCACATGGGGGCTTTATACTATGTGAGAGGATAAGTAAGAACCTATTTCTCAACTCTCCTACCCATTAAAGTAAAAAATTGACTGGAAGGATCCATGCCTGCTGATCTTGATCATTGGCCTCCAGCTAAGACTTTTTCAAGCTAGTCAGGAAGTTCACAGGTGCTGTCTGTGTTAAAAGCAAATAGGCGATGGCCTGTTGTCTAAGGTTCCTTACTTTTGGAGGTCAAATGGGCAGGACTAGAGGCATCAGGCTTTTGAAAAGCCTTTGAAAAGCCTTTGAAGTTAGGGAAATGTGCTTCTGTGTGTGTGGTAGCCCTACACAAACAAGTAGATTAAAATAGCTGATTAACATTAAACAATAAGATGAGCACCTCTGTGGGTCACTTTATCCAGTTTTGAAGGCAAAACTTTAGATCATATTAACTTACTTTCAGCCCTTCAGAAGCTGTTATTTAAAAGATTTTTGTTTCTGTTTTTTTTTTCTTTTTTAAATGTTTATTTTTGAGAGAGTACAAGCAGGGGAGAGGCAGAGAGAGAGGATCCAACGCAGGGTCCTTGGTGACAGCACAGAGCCCGATGTGGGGCTCAAGGTCACAAGCTGTGAGATCACGACCTGAGCCGAAGTCAGATGTTTAACCTACTGAGCCACCCAGGCACCCCTAAAAGAATTTCTTTTTAATCACTCTCTCTGCCTTTTGCTTTTTGTTGTTGTTGTTGTTAATGGAGAATTACACACTTAACGGTAGAGAGTATATTACCTGGTTTCAGCAGGTGAAACCATAGTTTCAGCTTTATTCCCATCACCTTGCCCTGGATTATTTTGACACAACTTCAAGGTGTCCTGTTTATTCCATTCATATGTATTTGACGGTGTACCTCAAAAAAGACAAGGGATGCTTTTTTTTTTAAATTTTTTTTAATGTTTGTTTATTTTTGAGAGAGAGAGACAGAGTGCGAGCAGGGCAGGGGCAGAGAGAGGAGGAGACAGGAGGCTCCAGGCTCTGAGCTGCCGGCATAGAGCCCAAAGCAGGGCTCAAACCCACCAAGTGTGAGATCGTGACCTGAGTTGAAGTCGGATGCTCAACCGACTGAGCCAGCCAGGTGCCCCATGGGATACTTTTTTCAAGCACAACCACAATATCATTTTCATACCTAAGAGAATTAAAACAATTACTTAACATTTAATATTGAGTCATTATTCAATTTCTGTGGTTCCCCCATGCCCCCCACCCCCCTTTTAAGCTATTTGAATCAAGGTCTAAATAAAGTCTGTTTCACTGGTTGATAGGTCTCAAGTCTGTAACATGAAGATTTCCTTTTCACTCTTTTTCCTTTTTGTAAAAATTTTTTTACTTAAAAAAAAAAATTTTTTTTAATGTTTATTTTTTGAGGGAGAGAGAGAGAGGGGCAGACTGCAAGCAGGGGAGGAGCAGAGAGAGAGACGGAGAGACCAAATCGGAAGCAGACTCCAGGCTCTGAGTTGTTAGCACAGAGCCCGATGCGGGGCTCGAACCCAAGAACCGCGAGATCATGACCTGAGCCAAAGTCCAGTGCTTAACTGACTGAGCCACCCAGGCGCCCCAACTCTTTTTCCTCTTAAGGGGTTTATCGAAGGAACTTTTTTGTCTTAGAGAATAAATTTTGTATTAGATTATAAACCCCTCAATTTTCTTAAAATTATTCTTTTAGTTTTGTTTAATATGACAGTCTGCCACATTATAGATGTAGAACACTTGAAAATTCTGTATGTTTAAATCACATTACGTGTGAGACTTCCTTATTTTGAATATAATCAGATGTTCTTTGGTCAGGAAGAGTTACTCTTTCTGCATCTGAGAAGGGATGTTCTGATGACTTTATTGTACATAAATAACCACCTGACAATTTCATTTGGAAACCATAGCAACCTTTTACCAAATTTTAGTATGTGCTAGGCACCAAGCACCTTACGTAGTGTAACCATTGCACCGGGTCTTACAATTCTGCCGCAGAGTGTGGTTCTCCCTGCTTAGAGGAGGGAACAGAGATTTGGCAACGGAGAGATTTGTCCAGGGCCACACACTAGCCAGAATTTGACCGGGGCCACGTCACAGCGTGCTGCCTCCATCTGAGAAATTTGGGGAAATTTAAGATTTGCGGAGAAAAATACCTAGGAATTATGTGTATGATGCACGGCGTTAACAGTTTGATCTCTTTATCCGTATTTTTCTTGATACACTTTAAGCCTCGTTTTCATCGTAGGGCAGAAATAGGAAGTACAGGTGTGTGGCTGATGAGGCTCCTCGACAGCCCAACTCCAAAAGGGAAGGGGTACAGGGTAGTAGCCAGAAGGCTCCTTTCCTGCAAGTGTGGGAGGGTCTGCAGTGTGATGTAAGGCACACGCTTCTCCAAGCGCATGGACCCGGTGTCCTCAGCTGTGGTGGAAGAGCAGGGTGATCGTGAGCGTGGTATCGTAACTTGTGTTGTTGCCCCATCATTGTGTTCCTGTTTCATTAAGTGATGGAAGAAATCTTACTTCTCCCATAGCATATTGATAAAGTGTTCAAACATAAGGAGTTACAGCAGCAGCTTGTGGATGCCAAGCTTCAGCAGACGACACAGCTAATAAAAGAAGCTGATGAAAAACATCAAAGAGAGAGAGAGTTTGTAAGTTCTCTTTCTTAACAAAAAATTTGTCGAAATTGGACCAAAGCCATTTGAAGCATTGAAACTTATTCTACATTTAATACGGCACCCGGGTCATGCTAACTGGTTTTTTGTTCTAGATTGAGAAGGGCATGTGTGTCTCAGAACGCATTTGGCTTTTATTTCCATTTTTTATACAGAAGATACACTGAAGAGTTTAGACCAACTAGTGGAAAGACCTGCACTCATTTGACTTTTCCATGCTTACCAAGTTCCAGAATTACACCAGTATTTAGCGGTTCAGTTTAATATCAAGCTTACCGAACACTAGTCTCATATATTGTTATATTTTGTCTTTAAATAAGTAACTTGAAAGTAGGGAAACTATTTGTCTACTTATTCTGGCATAATATTCTGATAAAATTTTAACAGAATTCTCTCTACCTAATCACTCAGCATCGTTCCCAGAGTGTATGTTCAGACTATATTTCCCGTCAGTAATTATGAATACCATGGAATCTCACTGGGTATGTACATTTAACACACGCAAATTCGACTCTATATGCTTAACCAAAACCAACCAACCAACTGGGAGATGATTATGGCAGTGAGGACTGTTCCATCCAGCTTCTGCGGAAGTATCGTAGGCGTTGAGGCGAGCCTGCTCTGAAGACTTGGTTCGTCAGTGCCCCTCATGGTGTGAACTTACCGTGTTGAGTGTGAGCCTAGGCTTAGGAGAGAGAGATTTTTCATACAGCACGATCCTTCTGTGTGAACTGATAATGCTGTCCTGTGCGTGATGGAAGAAACGGTTGTCATTTCCAAAGCAGGAGTATGAATTTTGTACATTCACACACGCACATGCCTACGTTGCACGTTTATACTTTGTAATTGGTTTAATATCTTTTCCAGGCTTATTTGGACTATGTGTGACATTTTACTTCAGGGACTGAATTTCAACAGTTGTTGACTATGCAACCTCGCTATATAATTTTCCTGAAAACTCAAGTATATAAATTAAAGCACTCATCCACTTCTCCCCTGCTTTTTAAAAAGTGATCAGAAACTGGTGTCTGATTTCACTGCTTTGCTCCATACCCTTTCGCTCTGCCTCATCTTGGTTCTCAAGGAGTACCGTGGTTTTCTAAGTCACTTAGATAAATGTCAAGATTCTGAGCCCTGTTTTCTAATACCAGACTTGTCTTTTCACCTGAAACATAACAATTTAACCCTGAGTTTTGTAAACCTATTATTAGGCCTCTAGCGGTACTCTTTCTAAGCAGTAAAAGATGATTCCAACATTCCTTAGTGTTAACAAGGGGAACAGATTGAAGACGATAGGTAATGAGCAGTTGATGTAACAAATATCTATAGGCTTTTAGTTTTTGCTAAAAAAATGAGTGGAAGGATTAAGCCAGACTCTGATCATTTGACTTAATAGTCATATTTGTAATTACTATTAGTATTCTGCCAGAATGTTTCTGTTTTCTAGTTATTAAAAGAAGCCACAGAATCAAGGCACAAATATGAACAAATGAAACAGCAAGAAGTACAACTAAAACAGCAGGTAACTTGACAGCAGGGGGTAGCGGCGTTTGTAAGAAAAATCTGTGGTTCATTTGATACGTATCTTGAATTTTCTCTAAGATGCTCGTGCTTATTCCCAGCCAGAACTGAGAGTAGATCACGTGTCCCTCCTGGAGTTTTCCTCTTCGCTTAGGGTGACCAGCTCATCCTGACTTGCCCAGGACTTTCCTGGTTTTAGCATTCAGAGTACCGTGTCCCTGGAAATACTTAGGTCTCAGGCAGACGGGGACAATTGGTGATGCTGTCTGCAGTGCCCCCTTTCCAGTAGTCCAGGTATTTCCTCCCTTTCCCAGTCTGTTCCCATGTGTGTCTGCTGATTTCCAACTAAAGAAAACCTGAGAAATCTTCAGATTGTAGCCCTTTTGTATTAAGATGAATTATACAAAATTGCTGGTACTTCTTTGACCTATAAAAATGGCAGTTTCATATAGTTGAACCTAAAATCTTTAGAATTTTGTGCAGTGAGCACATAACAGGCAGTTTTAAAAACTGTCAACCACCATACAGTTCTACTCCTAGATAGAGCTGTGGAGGTGGTGGTTTTCATGGGGGTCCTTCCTATTTTTCTCTCTTTTCTTTTTCTTTTTTATTGTTTGTTTATTTTTGAGAGAGAGAGAGCACGAGCAGGGGAGAGGCAGAGATAGAAAGAGACACAGATTCAGAAGCAGGCTCCAGGCTCTGAGCTGTCAGCACAGAGCCCAACACAGGGCTTGAACCCATGAAGGGCGAGATCATGACCTGAGCTGAAGTCGGAGGCTTAACCGACTGAGCCACCCGGGTCCCCCCTGCTTTTTTCTTTTCAAGTATATGATAACGTTATTGTTAAGCATAGTCACCATGCTGTACATTAGATCCTCAGAACTTACTCATCTCCTAATTGAAAGTTTTTGCCCTTTGACCATCATATTCAGGTATCCCCCTCCCGTCAGCCCCTGACAACACTATTCCACTTTCTATTGGAGTTCAGCTTTCTTAGATTCTGTATGTAACTGAGATCATACAGTGTTTTTTCTCCGTCTGGCTTATTTCACCTAGCATAATGCCCTGAAGGCCCATCCATATTATCACAAATGGCAACATTTTTTTTTAAGTGGCTGATTAATACTCTATTGTGTATATGTACCACATTTTCTTTATTCATCTCTTTGTGGGCACTTAGGTTGTTTCTTTATCTTGGCTATTTTGAATAATGCTGCAGTGAACACAGGAGTGCATAGATCTGTTTGAGATAGTGATTTCATCTCCTTTGGATATACAGTATACCTGGATGTAGGATTCCTAGATCATATGTTGTATTTTTAATTTTTTGAGGAACCTCTGTACTGATTTAATGGTGGCTGCACCCATTTACATCCCCACCAGCAGTGCACAGGAATTCCCTTTTCTTCATACCCTCGCCAGTGTTTATTATCTCTTGTCTGTTTTATAATAGCCATCCTGACGGGTGTGAGATGACATCTCATTGTGGTGTCGATGTGCGTTTCCCTGATGAATCGTGATGTTGGAGCACCTTTTCATGTTCCTGTTGGCCATCTGTGTGTCGTCTTTGGAAAAATGTCTATACAGGCCCTCTGCCCGTGTTTAAATTGGACTATATTTGTTTTTTGCTATCAAGTTATATGAATTCCCATAGATATTTTGTATACTAACTCTAATTGGGTATGTGGTTTGCAGATATTTTTTCCCATTCCATAGGTTGCCTTTTCATTTTGTTGTTTCTTTTGCTGTGCAGAAGCTTTTTTAGTTCAGTGTAGTCTTCACTTAACTAATTTTTCCTTGTGTTGCTTGTGCTTTTGGTATCATAACCAAAATTTCCAAGACTATTGTTGGGGAGTTTTTTCAACCTATGTTTTCTTCCAGGAGTTTTATGGTTTTGGGTCTTATGTTTAAGTCCTTAATTTTTGTGAGTAGTTTAAGATAGGGGTCCAGTTTTCCCAACGCTATTTATTGAAGAGACTGTCCTTTCCCCATTGGGTATTCTTGGCTCCCTTGTCAAATATTAGTTGACCATATTTGTATGGGTTTATTTCTGGGCTCTCAGCTCTGTTCCATTGGTCTATGTCTCTCATTTTATGCCAGTAGCATACTGTTTTGATTACTTAGCTTGTAGTATACTTTGAAGTCAGGGAGCATGATGCCTCTCTGTCCAGCTTTGTTGTTTCTCAAGATTGCTTTGGTTATTCTGGCTCTTTTGTGGTTCCATTCGAATTTTAGGATTACTTTTTCTATTTCTGTAAAAATGCCATTGTGATTTTGATAAGGATTAAATGTAGATGGCTTTGGGTAGTATGGATACTTTAATTATACTGACTTTTGATCCATGAACACAGGGTATCTTTCCATTTTGTGTTCTTCAAGTTTTTTCATCAGTGTCTTAGTTTTCAGCATGTAGATCTTTCATATCCTTGGTTAAATTTATTTCTAAGTATTTTCTTGATTTTGATGCTATTGTAAATAGGAGTTCTGGTTGTTTTTTTTCTTTTTGGTAATAGTTTTTTGGTGGAGTCTTCAGGATTTTCTGTGCATAAGGTTGTGTCATCAGAAAACAGATATAATTTTACTTCTTCCTTTCTGATTCGGATGCCTTTTATTTTTCTTGCCTAATTACTTTGGCTAGGAATTCTAGTACTTGTGTTAAATAGAAGTGGTGAGAGTGGGCATCCTTGTCTTATTCTGATCTTAGAAGGAAAGCTTTAAACCTTTAGCTGTGGGTCTATCACATATGGCCTTTATTAGGTTGAAGTATGTTTGTTCTGTACCCCATTTGTTGAGTGTTTATATCATCAATGGGTGTTGTATTTCGTGAGATGTTTTCTCTGTATCTATTGAGATGATCATATGGTTTTTCTCCTTTATTCTGTTAATGTGAAATGTCACATTTATTGATTTGTGTATGTTGAGCCATCCTTGCATCATCACTGGGATGAATCCCATTTGATTTATGGTATGTGATCTTTTTAATGTGCTTTTCGATTTGGTTTGCTAGTATTTTGTTGATTGTTGAGAATTTTTGCAAGTTTATCCATCAGGGATTTTGTCCTGTGGTTTTCTTATAGTATTCGTATCTGGCTTTGATTTCAGGGTAAATGGTGACCTTACATAAAAAAAAAGTTGGGGAGTGTCCCTTTTCTTCCGTTTTCTGGAAGAGTTTGAGAAGAATTGGCATTCGCTCTTCTTTAAGTGTTTGGTGGAATTCATCCATGAAACCATGTGGGCCGAGGCATTTCTATGTTGCTTCCCTATTTTCCAACCCAGACCCCTTAGTTTTGTCCTAATGCAAACCTTTCTTGGGGTTTGTCTTCTGTGGAGTAAGGCTAGCAGACGCTGCCTCCCCACTCAAAGAAAAGATAGAGAAAAGACTTCCTGTGTCTTTATGGACAGGTGAAATTAGGTATTTACCTGTAGTTCACCCTTTTCCAAGTAACTAGATTATATTCAGTTGAAGAAAGTATTACCTATTTTATTATATAATAAACCTGTTTTAATGTAAGGACTCTAAATTAGTTCCAAAATGCGTTGATACATTGAGACTGCTGTGAATCTTTATGACCACCTCTTTTTCAATGCTTTTTGTCTTCAGGCCTGTTTTACAGTGTGGTGATTGATACTCATTTCCTATGAAGTTAGACTAACTTTAGAGTGAAAATTCAAGAAGTCTTTTGAACTTCCCACTATAACTTAGGATTGTGGTAGATTGCTTCTAGGAAATTTGAAGCCCTTATTAGCTCCATAAACTCTGCTGTCCGTGTAAGTGGAGAAGAGAATTGATATGGAAAAGGTATATAAAGTCTATCTATGTGTACAGCTTTGGAAAATAGACTTGAAAAAATTTTTTTAATATTTGTTTTTGAGGGAGAGAGAGAGAAAGAGCGAGCGAGCAGGGGAGGGGCAGAGAGGGACACAGGATCCAAAGCAGGCTTTGCACTGATGGCAGAGAGCCTGACGCATGGCTCGAACTCTAGAACTGCAAGATCGTGACCTGAGCCAAAGTCAGACACTCAACTGAATGAGCCATCCAGGCGCCCCTGGAAAATAGACTTGAGTGTGGGAGTCCCTGCAAAGCACCAGAGGACCCTTCTGTGAAGCTCCCAGGCAGCTCTGATTCTGTTGGACTGTTCTCATTGTAACTTCTGTTTGCGGTCTGTGTCACCCTGGGTCGTGTTATCTGATTATTAGTTTCTTTTGCTGTCACGTCTTCCTTTTCCTAGTCCCTAAATGTGGCTGTCCTTTCCAAGAGTTGGTCTCATTCTGTGTTCTTACCATGTCAGTTTCCAGCATTTGTTGAGGATAGAGTCGAATTGGTGTTTGTTGACCCATTGTTCTGTAATCCAGGCATGTAAGGCCAGGTGTGATGGTAGTTGCCACTTACTAACTACCCAGTGTGGGCCAGCATTGAGCTCTCGGATGGGACAGTGTACATGGATGTTGCATCTTCAGTAACAGTGGCTGTGGGGGTGCTTGGGTGGCATCGGTTGAGCACCCAACTCTTGATTTTGGCTCAGGTAGTGATCTCAGGATCAGGGGATTGAGCCCTGCGTTGGGCTCCGTGCTGAGCATGGGGTCTGCTTAAGATATTCTCTCCCTCCCCCTTCCCCTCTCCTTCCACCCCCCCACCCCTCCCTCCCTCTGCCCTTTTTCCTCCCTCTCTCTCTCAAATAAAAATAAAATAAAAAACCAAATAGAATTTTAAAAAAGTTGTGAACATGCATTGTAAGCTTTTTGAGATTATACAATGCAATAGGGACATTATTATGGTCCTTGCAAGCAGGGTAGTTTCCAGTATTTAAAGTGTACTTTGAGCCATGGTCCTCAAGACCCAAACCGGTCAAAAATCAAGTAAGTCAAAAAACCCCATTCCAGTGAATTCTTTCTTTCCCCACCAAACCAATGCTTCACCTTCTGTTTCATTTTCCTCTATATGTTAAGGAAAGAGTTATCCTTTTTTTTTTTTTTTTTAATATTTATTTATTTGGGGGGAGAGCATAAGCGGGAGAGGGGCAGATAGAAGCGGGCTCTGTGCTGACCGGCTGACAGCAGTGAGCCCGATGTGGGGCTTGAACTTAAATGGTGAGATCATGACCTGAGCTGAAGTCGATACTCAACCGACTGAGCCACCCAGGTGCCCACCTTTTTTTTTTT